CCAGGCAGGAGAGCAGAGGGTATGCGCAGGCTTGGGTCTGACTATGAGCACATCAGGAGACAGTAATGTCATGCTGTAGGACACCCTTTCACAAAGAACACTATATGTAACCCACAGGGCAGCCAAGGGAACACTCAGGCCCCTCTTTGCCAGGCACTATCCACAGCAGGAGGGAGTGATCAGCCAAAAGCCTCAGTTCATGCAAGGGACCAGCACCCAAATGATCCCAATTTCAAAAAGTTGAAATTGTTGAATTTCAACAATTCAAGGTAGAGGCATTTGGGGCTGTATCTTATCACCCAGGGGTGTCTCTCCCCCTCCCCGCCCCTTCCCTCTTACTTACACACACACACACACACACACACCACACACACACCACACCACACACACACACACCACACCACACACACACCACACACACCACACCACACCACACCACACCACACCACACCACACCACACCACACCACACCACACCACACCACACCACGGAGCCTGGCTACACAATCAAGTCCTAGAGAGAACCCTTTTGTAAAACAAGAACATCCCCAATCCCCAACTCACTCTTGGAGTTTGCTCAGTTTCCGGCCCTCCCCATCCCACTGACTAGCTGGCAAGTGAAGGCCAGGACTGCCATCTGCTGGCCAGAACACAGAGACCCCATGTGCCCTGCAGAGGCCGGCCCACCTCCTGCAGCTGGATCATCTCGGCCTCCATGCTCTTCAGCTTCTTCTCGCTCTCCTTGGCCTGTGCCAGGATCTCCTCTCGGGAGGCACGCGTGTCCTCTAGCTCGCGCATGCAGTCCTTCATCTGGGCCTGGGTAGGGAGGACAGCTTGGTATCACCACCCTCCTTCTGCCTGCTCAGGCCCAATACTCCTTACAGAGGCCACCTCACCAGTAAGGACCCACTTTTAGCCTGACACCATATTTAATTAACCAACTTAACTAAAAGGGCAGAAGAGTAACTACAGACAAAACACCTCTGCACCCCATGTCATTTTCACACGTTGCCTGTTAAGATTTAAAGCATGCTTTTAAAGTGGTACTTGCTGGGTACATATAAGCCAAGCTATGCTCCCTTTCTTACTTTCTGTTGACTAGAGTCTGGTGCCTACACACCACCCAATGCACACCTGAGACTTGAAGTCAGCACCCATGCTAGCTCAGTTAAAAGGCAAGAAATACGCTTCCTTCTGTCATTCTCCTACTGTTACAACTCAAAGTATTTATCAAATAGAATTTTTTTCTTCTAAATCTCACATTTATCTGGGACTCTGGGATTCAGGGTGTGACTCTACTCTCACACAGCTACACAGCACCAGTTAAAAATGTCATCAGCAATCACAGGGTCTATCCTCCACAATCTTGCTCACAATTATTTTAAATTTATTCTTGTTGTTGGCACACAGGGCATAACAGACCATGTGAGCTGTAAACTCTTGAACCACTGATGAGGTAAAAATTTCCTAAGTATGTGCCCCACACTCTGGGCTGCTTCTGAGAAACATCAGCTCAGAGCTTCCATTGCAGCACTGGGTCAGTCCCTGACTTCTGAAAGTCTGCACTAACTGACCTCCTTCCCTGACTCTTCTGCACATCTAGGTTCTTTGTCTCATGTACTCAGAGTCACTGACCTCACTGCAAGTTTGCTTTGGCACTACTGTTCTTTCTCTTCTGTGGGTCTCTAAGCCTCCACCTGTATGATGGGCTAGGAACCCCTTTCACTTTGCTCAGAGATGGGAGGCTACAATTCACAGCCTTTAGCAGCTGTCCATCTGTGTCCAGCATGGGGATGAGTCCCAGCATCAAGCTCTTACTGGCTCAGTCTTGCCTCACCTGCAGCTTCCGCAGCTGTTTAATGGCTTCTTCCCGGTTCTTGTTGGCCGTGTCTATGTGTGCCTCTAGATCCTTCAGGTCCATCTCCAGCTTCTTCCGAGCAGCCACGGCAATGGAGCGTTGCTTCCTCTCGTCCTCCAGCTCTGCCTCCATCTCCCGCACCTAGGGAACAGTGACAGCTCAGGAGGCTTCTATGCGTGGAGCTCACTCCAGCCCTACACCCAAGCCAGCCCTGTGGGATCGATAGGGTCAATGAGGATTACTGAGCATCAAAACTCAGTGAGCCAGGCGCCAGTGGCTCATGCCTAGAATCCCAGCTACTCAGGAGGCAGAGATCAGGAGGATCATGGTTTGAAGCCAGCCAGGGCAAATAGTTTCTTGAGACCCCATCTTGAAAAAACCCATCACAAAAAAGGGATAGTGGAGTGGCTCAAGGTGAAGGCCCTGAGTTCAACCCCCAGTACCACAAAAACTAATAATAATAATAATAATAATAATAACTCAAAGTCAGGTGCTGGGGGCTCATCCTGTAATCCTAGCTACTCAGGAGACAGACAGAGATCAGGAGGATTGCAGTTCGAAGCCATCCCAGGCAAATAGTTCACAAGACCCTATTTCGAAAACACCCTTCATAAAAAAGGGCTGGGTAGAGTGGCTCAAGTTGAAGACCCCAAATTCAAACCCCAGTACCGGAGGCGGCGGGGGGGGGGGGGGGGGGACCAAAAGAAAAACAAAACTCAAAGTGAACCACTGAGCCCTAGGTCAGAGGACTGGCAGTTGAGGTCATGGAAAGGGGTCCAGGAATCTACATGACCCAGGTGGAGCAAGGAAAGGAAGGAGGCCTACTAGAGAAATCAAAGCAGTCCCTGGCACTTTTGCCTGAAGGCCATACGCACCTGTCTGACTAGCTGCTTCTTCTTTTCTTCACTCTGCTCATCGCGGCCCTGCAGGTCCCGCTCAAACTGGGCCTTCATGGCCTGCAGGTTCACTTCCAACCTCAGCTTGGCATCCTCAGTAGCCTGCAGCTCATCCTCCAGCTCCTCGAGTTGGGTCTTCATCTCCTCCACCTGCTGCTCCAGAGCCCGCTTGGACTTCTCCAGCTCGTGGACCTGTACCAGAGAGTCCAGTCAGCCAGAGATACAGGCAGGCACCTGAGGCTCTGGACTCAGTCCATACATAATCCTGGCTCCACATGACATCCCCACTTGATGCCTTCCTGAGACCCAGCCACCAGTGCAGCACTCACACTCTTGCCCACGTCATCCTTGGAGCTCATGAGGTCCTCCATCTCCGTGCGGAACTGCTTGTTGAGCCGTTCCAGTTCTGCCTTCTGCTCCATGGCCTCCTCCAGCGCCCGGGCCAGTGACAGTGCTTTGGTCTCCTTCTCTCGGGCCTCTGCCTCAGCTCTGTCACGTTCCTCAGCGTACTTGGCAGAGATGGTCTTTTCCTCGGCCAGGAGCTGGGAGAGAAGAGAGTACCATGAGGCCAAGGCTTCAGACTACTGTGGGCACCACAGGCAGACCCAAGGCAAGCAGGCCCAGGGTTGCTGCCTGAGAACTGGTTGGTTCCAAAGATGACATCCAGTGTGTCCTCCCGGCCAGACAAGGGCAGAGATTCCCCAGACGAGGGCAGAGAGAAAACCTCTGTTTTCTTTTTCTTAGTGAATAACAATCCTTTATGTCACATGCTCTCCTTTAAAGAGAATTTACAGGATATTAACACACACACATGCACACAAACTTGGAAATACTTTGGCTCTCTGGAACAATAGGTTGGCCTGTTTTTTGAAAAGAATGAGAGTGTAACTGCTTGGAAGCCTGAATCCTGTGTAGAGCCCTCCTCCAAGGACAGTCTTAGCCCCTCTGGTGTCTGTTCTTGGCATGGACCCATCCGGCTTTATCCTATCTCCCCACCTTCCCATTCACTTTGCTCTATTCCTCACTTGTGGTTGGTAACCTTTTCCATGAAGGGCTGGAGAGTATGTTGCCTAGTTTGGAGGCCCTATAATCTCTGCAGCAACCACTCTCTGCCACTACAGCACACGAACAGCAAGAGACAACATGCTAATGAATGAGCATGGCTGTGTTCAATAAAACTTTATCTACAAAAAGCTGGTGGCTGAATGTGACTGTTGTTTGATGACCATTGATTTTTTTTTTTTATTATTCTGTTATTCTATCTGGCCCCGGTGCCTGCAGCTCCATAAGCTGCCTCAGACATTTTGGAGATGAGGAACAGGGTGAACGCATGCACAAAACATAAAAACTTCTTTACAGCACCTTCCATCGGTGGCTTTCTTCCCAGTCCCCTATGCAGGCTGGAGACTGAGGCCTCGGAGCACCTGCTCTACCCAGGTTCTGATTTCACCAGCCTCCATTCTAGGCTATGGTGCTGGAAGGAGCGAGGAGGTAAAAGAGGCTGTCATGGTCACCCACCTGGTCAAACTTCTTCTGCTTCTTCTCCAGGTTGGAGACGCTCTGTCGTTGGTGGTCCAAGTCCACAAGCAGGTCGTCTAGCTCCTGCTGTAGCCGTGTCTTGGTCTTCTCCAGCTTATCATAGGCAGCAACTTTCTCCTCATGGCGCTGGGTCAGCCCCTCCAGGTCCTTCTGGAGCTTCCTTTTAGCTTCCTCTGCAGTCTCCAGGCACCCCACACCATCCTCCATCTTCTTCTTCATGTCGGTCACCTGGGCAGGAAGAGGGAGAAAGGAAACACTCACGATGGCACCTGGTCATGACACACCCTTCTCTTGGACACTGGGGGTCTGACCTGCTGCACCATGAATGAACCCAAGGAGCCAACCCAGTTATGGACAGACCGCTCCCCGCCCCCCATTGCTTCCCTCTTCCATTGGGCAAGAAAACGCCACCTGGGCATGAAGAGTAGCAATCTGCTTCTCCAGGTTATGCTTGGACTCCTCCTCCTCCTCCAGCTGCTCTTTGAAGGAGTTCTTCTCATCCTCCATCTGCTTCAGCTTGGTGCTCAGGCTCAGCTTCTGCCGGGTCTCCTCCTGCAGCAGCTCCTACTCCGAGGACAAGGAGAGCAATACTCAGAAGACATATCAGAACCTCCTGTGCCCCACACCTCCAATGGTGAGAGCACTGGCCCCTGATTTAGGGGGCAGCTGCATAAAGAATGGGTGGGAGTGGGAGGGCCTAGGATGAGAGGGTGATCAATTAGTTGTGCTTTGTGATGAAGGCCCAGAGGCCTAGCAGCTAAGGTCGTATGGGCACAGGACCCTCCTAGGAAGGGCCAATTTCTGGGTCCCAACACTGTCCTTACCTGAGTGTCCTGCAGCTGAGACTCCAGTGCAGAGAAGTCCTTGGTGAGCTTGCTGGATTTACTATCAGACTGGTTGAGAAGACCAGTCACATTGTCCAGCTCAACCTGCACAGGGAAAGGAAAGGCAAGACTGTGAGCCAGGCCAGAAGTGTCCTGGCACAGCTGGACCTGAGTCATAAGCCAAACCACAGGGTCTGACTGAGGAGCCAGCATGAGGAGAGGGTGTGGGGGAACATGCCTGTGGATCTTATCACAACTCATTTGGTGGTGAGGTCCCATGCACAAGCTAAGGGTCCAACAGAAGCCTCACCTGCAGTTTGGTGACCTTGTCAGCCAGCTCGGTGCGCACGCGCTCTCCCTCATTGAACTTGACCTGCAGCTCCTGCAGCTGAGCCTCTACCTTCTTGCGTTTGTGCTCAGAGTCCCCCTTGCCCTGTAGCAGGGCCTTCACCTCGTTGGCCAGCTCACCCCGTTCACTCTCCAGGGTCTGCTTTGCCTTCTCAAGGGTGGCTTTCACCTGGAGAAGGAGGCAAGGACATAAATGGAGCATCTGGGCCCTAGCATTTGCCTAGTCTCTCTAATCTCACTGGATAGCCAGTGACTCTAGGTTCAAAAATTGCTGCTTCTGCAGCAAAACGACAGTTGCAGTAAGAGCCCTGGACTCAGAGGGATGTGCCTCCCTTGTCCTCCTCTCTCAGAGGTTGGTCAGAGACCAGTCCTCACTTGTGAAGACTTAGCTCCTGACCACTGGAATAAACCCTGCCAGCCTTCTTCCCTGCATGAGGGCACTGTTCTAGTAGAACACGCTGCTGTTAATGCTATGGTTTTAACAATATTTGTATCACAAGGAAACTACAGTTGTTCTTACACTTGTAAGCTTCTCTGAAATGTGATACTCAAAGTAATAATGAAATGTTCTTTCAAAAAAGAAGAAAGAAAAGGAAGAAATCCAACAATCCTCTGCTACACAAGACTGAGCAAACTCGCCAGGTTCCAAAGTAAGCTGGACCCCAAGAGAGTGCAAAGGTACACTGCGTGACAACACTGAGGAACATGGTGGGCCTTGACACACAGCATGGGTGGAGGCTGAGGGGACAAAACCGTATGTTTCTAAATAAACTTTACAGGTTGCCACGTGGACGAGCCTACTGCTACCAAGTGACAATGAGCTGGAAGCCACTAGAAGGCAGAGCTTGTCCTGCAAAGGAGCTGCCTAGTCATCAGCTGCCTGACCAAGAAGTCAGCTGGACAGACAGCACCAGGTTCCCCAGTAGGATACCAGCTGATGGCATGCTGCAAGTGTTCAAGAGAGGACCCAGAGTCAGCAAAGGGACGGCTAAGGCCTTATGACACTCAGTCTAGGTTGATCCTTTTCCTTGATGCTTTCTGGTCTGGCAGGACATTGAATAGATAAAAACAGTATTTCAGCAACAATAACTTACTAAGCTCTTACTACCTAAGTGCTTTACATGTAACACCAGCTCAACCTCGTAATCATGAGATGGACCAATCATTACACTCCTATATGGACAGGGAAACTGAGGCACAGAGTACTTATATGCCTAGGTCACTGACTAAGAGCTGGAGCCTGGCCTCAGACCCAGGGCAGTCTTATGCTGCAAGCCTGGTTTAGAGGCAGCAAGGTCCAGAGGAGCAACCACTGGAACTGTCCTCCCCAGAAGCAACTCAACCTCTTGGAAGCACAGGGAGCTTTACCCGCTTTGTCTGCTCCAGCTGCTCAGCCAGCTCCTCCACAGCCTGCGAGTGCTTCTGCCTCATCTCCTGGATCTGGGCCTCATGAGTCTTGGCCTCCTCCTCAAGGGTCTTCTTTAGGATGTTCACTTCCTGCTCACGTTTGGACCTGGGCAGAGAAATGCCCTCAGAATGGAGGTCAAGGACAGCCTGGCAAGGGCACAGCCATCCCAGACAGCTTCTCTACCACTGGTCTCCCACCTCAGCCATTCATCCTATAGCCCAAGCTGACAGGCATAGTTTGCAGAGGCTTCTGTGCCCTTTCAGTCTTAGAGCCCACCTTGTCTCACTCCGAACATCAAGCCAGGTTCTTCGACAGGGCTTCTGCTCGGTAGAGAAGCTGCTAAGGACCCCCAGTACCCATGCTCTATGGCACATGAAGTCATGTGTTTACAGAGGCCAGGGCCCCAACTTCTAGACCACAGCCTCCTCCTATGTCACAGCCTTCCCCATGCTCGGTGACTTGGCCTGCCCCATGCTCACCTCAGTTCTTGCTGGGCAGCTGTGGAGTCCAAAGTATCCTCCAACTCTGTTTTCAGAGCCTCCAGCTCTTCTCCAAGATCCCGTTTCTGTTTCTCAGCTTTATTCCTAGAAGCTCGCTCAGATTCCAGGTCTTCCTGGAGTTCAGAAATCTGAGACTCCAGCTCCCGAATCTTCTTTAGGGCCATATTCTTCTGAGCAGCTTCTTCTTCCACTCTGCCAAAGAGACCAATAACATCAGTATGAGGCCCTTTTCACCTTTTCACCTTTAAGGAACAGAGCATGCAGAAGAAGCATACTGGTGCAGCCAAAGCTGCATTTGGAAGTCATAACCATGGCATGTAGGCTCACGCTCAGTAAATCAACAACAGAGACAAAAGAAAATTTAAGAGCAATACTACTTTGAGACCTGGAAAACAGGAATTATTTATTTTCCAAATTAAGATTCATAACTTTAAATATAAAAAATTTCAAAGTTCAATATAAAAAAGAAGAAAATAAAATGTTACAGTCCATGGTGACTGCAATGAAATAAAAATATGAATGTGCTATGGACTTTAGATGATTAAGAGGTAGCAATGTTAAGTCCACCAACTGTAACAAATATATCATTCTGGTGGAAGACGCTGATAATGGAGGAGGCTATGCATGGCAGGTGGTGTAGGGGAATAGGAAACCTATGCCTGCTGTTCAAACTTGCTGTGAATCTAAAAATGTATTAAAAAATCTGTTTTTTAAAATTAAATGTATGTCTATAGCCAATAAATAGGAAAGGGAAGGGGAGGGAAGTTGGGGCTGGGTGACAGAGTTGTGGACAACTTTTTAAGGATTACAAACACAAAAGACAAAGACACTCTAGACCTTCCTGTTAAGGCATAGGAAGTGTTTTGCTCACAGCTCACTGATGCAGTGAGAGCCAGGCAGGAAGCCAGCTACAAGTGCTGGCACCAGCCAGTGCAGTGGTCAAGGCCTCACCTGGCCAGGGCAGCCTGCAGCTCCTCCTCCTTCTTGGCCAGCTGCATCTTGAGCTCAGCTATCTGTGCCTGCAGCTCGGCAATCTGGTCACTGAGGTCTGTGGAGTCCCCCTCCAGCTTGCGGCGTGTCTTCTCCAGCTCCTGTCGCTGCTTCTCCTCCCTGCGGAGGCGCTCTGCCAGGGAGGGGTGGGAGGGGCCACAGAGCTCTCAGTTGCTGCAGGCTTTATGCCTGCTTTTAATTACTTACATAAAACTACTGAGCATTCATAAAACATAAGGTTTAGAGGGTCACCACACACACCAGCCATACCCAACACCAGGGGTAGGAAGAGAGCTTTGCTACAAACCATCCAGGCCCCTGTATCTCTGTGGTCCATGGCCTGTCCTTCCCAGCTACGGCAACTGTACTCAAGTTTATTTCTTGTTTTGTACCACATTTGCTTGAATTTGAACTTAGACAATGGAAATGCCTTGCACGAACTCTATAAGTTCAGAAGGGCAGAGTCAGGGTTCAGTGTCTGGGTTTACTTAGGTAACTTGATCTTCCTGTGCCTCATATGAATAACTAGGTGGAAGACAATGTGCTTCATTAGGCTGCTATGAGGCTCAAGTGAGTTAACATCTTAAAGCACTTTGAATGGGGTCCAGTCCTTCAAAACTGACACCCAAGGCTAAGAAGGTCTAAGAGAACTGCTGGGTGACAGGCACACAAAGGTTCCCTCCTACCAGGCATGGCTGATTATTCTTTAAAACAGTCTACCAATGTATAATCCCACACGCATTCCGAATGCGCTCTGTCTTTTACGGTCTGTTAAGGTAACAAGCGTGCTACTAACGGACCTCTTGGATGATCAAGCACTTGGACTCCTCCAAAACGAGGGACACCCTGACTTACTCATCCCATACTCATAAGGAGGCCTGGGCAGGTCCACGACACAGGAATAGGGAAGACCTCCTGGTGCCCACCCTGCAGTTTTGGCTCTGTATTACCAGGCCTGGGCTGAAAGTTCACAACGATCTGGACTTTCTGTTCCCCAGCTGTCCTCTCCTCTCAAAGGGCAGGACGGGGGCTCCTCAGAAACCACAGACTTATGTTTCACTCCACAGATTCCCAGAACTGCCTCCCTGCCTCAAGTCCAGCACTGACCCCTGGCAATACCTGTCTAGTGCTTCATACCACACATGTTTGTGTGTGTTTAATTCAAGCCTTGCAAACACCCTATCACTGTGCCCCTTTATAGGTTAAGAGAAACTAAAGCCCAGGGAGTAAGCAGCAAAGTTTGAAGATGCCACAGCTTGTAGGAGACAATGCTGGTCAGCTCTGGGGGTCCAGCCAAGATCCCCTTGGGAAGTCTTGACAGTTTCTAAAATAGTGGTGGCCAACAACAAAGTGACACGAATCTTCACACTGAACAATCCTTGTGTAGGGGCTCATCTAGGCAGCAATGGGGCCTGGAGCTCAGACTCCCATGAAAACTGACATTGTCCTCTACAGCCTGGTGGTCTGGGGTCTTAAGGCAGCACCTGGGGCTGTGCAGAGGCTCAGGTTCATCTGAGCGCTGTGGAACCCTCAGAGCTCTGAGTCAAACAAGCATGTCCATGCCCAGCACACCTCACCTTCCAGATCAGTGATCATTGCCTCATGCTTGTTCTTGAGCTTGGCCAGGCTCTTGGACTTCTCCTCTTCTTCCATGAGGTTCGAAGTAAACTCAGCTATTCTGTCTTCCAGCAGCTTCTTCTCCTGGGGGAGGGAGGGGAATATCAGGGTTCAGAGTCAGCTGATCACAAATACCTGAGCTCTCCCAAAGCATGACTTCCTAGAAATGTAGAACTGAAGGGTGAAGCAAACCCTTAAATACTTGATCAAGCTCACTGGACTTACTAGATCAAAGGGGTTACTTTGAAAGGTCACTAGCTCTCCTAAAATAGCTGCATAAACCCCCTTAGGCCCTGAAACTGTGGGTGTCCACACCCTTCCTGGCCCTGCATTACCTCTAAGCTCAGGTAAGAAAGGCTTCTAGGTACTAGGGAGGGACGAGTGGCCCCATCCCTTAAGAGGCAGCCATATGGCTCCTACTCCCTTACCACACCACCTTCTCTGTACCCAAAGTGAAAGGGCCGTCCTCCTCACCTGCTTTGTGTGACCACCTCAACACCTACCACACACCAGTCACTGGACAGATGTCTTGCCACATCAACTACCTGCCCTCAGAGAATCCAGGGCAGTACTCTGACCCTGTCCTGCTTCCTCTAACACATTCCCCAGCTTTGTCGGCTCATTGGGACAGATGCTGACAGGGACCCAGTCTGTTCTCCGAAGACACAGCTACCCCTCAGCAATGGCTGGGGCAAAGCAGCCCACACCTTGACACCAAGCCACCAAGACGCCCCACCTCCACCAGTAACTAACATGTGCTATGGCACCCGAGGGTTCAACTCTTCAAAGCTTGGGTCACAAAACCTGAAGAGTTTTACCAAAGGGAGATGGCAACGCTTTCTCCAGGCCCTCCTCATTTGTGAGAAATCCTTTACACACAGCCCTGGTGCCCAGAGGCCTCAGGCACTCTGGGAGGAGTGGCTACTGCGAAGCACAGCAGGACAGATGGCAGGCATGGCCCTGAAGGGGATGGTTTGCCCTTCCCTGCACACCTTGGCCAGTTTGCAGTTCTGGTCTTCCATGATGATCTGGTCCTCCTCCAGCTTCTTCAGCTTGGCCTCTGTGGTCACTTTCTCCAGCTGCAGCTTCTGCCGGGCACTCTCCTCCTCCTCCAGCTGCTCCTCGAGTTCCTACCAGGATGGAAAGACTATGAGAAGGGCGTACTCCATGAGTGCTCAGGTACGCCCTTCTTGTGGCGGCCCGCATGTGAACTGGGATCATGGCGTTGACTCGCTGGTGCACGGATAGGCAGGGCTTCCCAACCCAGCTCTGCACCAGTGTGACAGGCAGAGGGCTAAGCCAAGGGCTTCCTGCACCTCAGCCTGGTGGAGCAATAACCAAGAAGAACTCAGGAGGCTTCGATGATCAACTTATCACTGAGATGCACATGTATGGGCCAAACTCTGCAAGGATGCCCAAGTGGGCAAGTGAAGAGCTGGCTTCAGTGACAGGTGTTATGTGCTGTGGTTTTGTGTCACTGCTTCCCAGGGCCACCAGTCCTGCACCAGACCCCTGGGTTCCAGCCCCGCCCATTCCTTGCAGGGAGGCAAGTGTAACCTGGATGTTCTGCTGCATTTTCTTCTTCTCTGCCTGCAAGTGCTGGCAGCGCTCCTCTTCCTCCTCCACCCTGGCCTCCAGGTCATGGCAGATCTCCTCCAGCTCCTGCTTCTTGGCGGTCAGGCGGGCCCGGAGCTCCTCAGCCTCAGCACACAGCTCGGTTTCTGCCTGCAGCTGCTCCTGTAGCTGCAGCTTCTCCGCCATGAGCTGCAAAGAACATGTGGAAAACTTAAGTTCCTTGTGGCCTCCTTGTTATAGTCTGGATCTGAAATGTTCACAAAGGCCAGGTGCTTAAGGCTTCATTGCAGCAGATGGCATTATTGGGAGGTGGTTGTTGCCCTCAACGCAGAGAAACTTAAGAAGATACTTTAAAGCAACTGAGGCCAATAGGAGATGGGGACCAGGAACTAGAGAAAAGGTTAGTTTGAGAAGAATTAACTTAGAAGGTAACACACATGCACAGGAAAGCAATGAGAGTCAACTCCCTATATAGCTATCCTTATCTCAACTAGCAAAAACCCTTGGTCCTTCCTATTATTGCTTATACTCTCCCTTCAACAAAACTAGAGATAAGGGCAGAACAGTTTCTGCCTGGTAGTGAGGGTTGGGGGGTAAGGGAGGGAATGGGGGGCGAGGAGAAATGACCCAAACATTGTATGCACATTTGAATATAATAATAAAAAGAAAAAATAAAAAGAAAAGATGAAAAAAAAGAAGCATTACTAGCAATAAAGGAGGATGAAAAAAAAAATTATTGGGAGGTGGGAGAAAGTTTAGAAGGTGGGGCCTAGCTAGAAGAAGGAGGTCACTAGGGGTGTCCCCAAGAGGGTGTAATGGGACCCTAGCCCCTTCCTCTCTTTCTCTCTGCTTCCTGGCCACCAGGAGGTGAGAGGCTCTGCTTCACCATGCCCTCCACACCGTGCCATGATGCCTCACCACTGGCCCAGAGACAATGGAGCCAAGTGACCATGGATTAGAACGTCTGAAACCATAGGCCAAGACAAACCTTCCCTCTTCTTAAGCTGTTCACTTCAGGGATGGAAAGCCAATAAACCACACTCCTCAAGTGGATCCAGGATGGATGCTCTGTGGCTCAGACTCCCAGCTGGCAAAGAACATGTGGACAAGACCAGCTTCCGTCTAGAGAGTGCTTAAGCTCTCAAGCAGCCACTAATACGTCCTTTGTTCTTAGCCATTCCCCATGAGCTTCAAAGCAAGACCCCTACAAAATGGGCTGAAAGGTTATGTGGTGGAGCAGAGGCTTGAAACCAGCACTTTTGAGCTTCCAACTAACTCCCTCCCTTCAACATACAACCCCAAAGGGGCCTGCACAGACAGTGAACACTACTTTCCTATAGGACTGACCTGCCTGCCTACTGGTGGCCAGCAAGTGGCAGCCCTGGGAGTGGCTACACTGGCTGACACCCACCTGAGACTGCAGAGTCTCCATCTCCGTGAGTCTGTTCTCCGCAGCCAGCTGCTTCTCCCGCACCTTCACCAACTCCTCCTCCTTAGCCATCATCTCCTCCTCCTGTCGGCTCACCTGCAGCAGCGGCTTGACCTAGGAGAGGAGGAGGAGGCAGGGTCAAGCTCAGCTGGAAGAGGCCTACTTCTTGCAAACCACAAAGGTGCTCCCTCACCTCTATGGCATGATCTCACAAGAGCAACCGACACACCGGGGGAGAAGGTGCAAGAGGGTACAACCTTCCTGGAAGTCAGTTTGGTGCTCATGTTGCAGGCCTCTGACTGACCAGTCACAATGCAGGGACACCATCACATACATGTGAGGATGCTCATAACAGCAAGACTTAGGAATGAATAAAGGCCCATTGTCGGAAAAGTAGCCAGGTAATTCTGATATGTTCTCTATGAACACTACGTGGACTTCTAAAAAACATGCTGATAAGAAATTTTAAATGGAAGTGCAAAATACAAGACTGTTATACAGTCAAAGCTTAGTTATGTAAAAATGAATGTGGTTTATTTTACATAGCTGAGATTTACTGAAAGTGAGAAATGGAGAGAGAATACTGAAATATCTACTGTGATGCTTTGGGATAAAGGGATTATGGGTGAATTTTTTTCTTCATAGTGTTTTTTGTTTGTTAAGTTTTCAATTACTATAAATTATCTATGAGTGATTTTAAAAGGGCTGGGAGGGCAGTTCACCATGAGCAAAGCTTCTGAGTAGCCATGTGGCATCTCGGAAGGACAGTGCTTCCTGAGCCACATGGGGCGGCTGTGTGCTGGGCCCATCAGACAGGGAGCTGCTGTCCGAGCCAGCCCAGTCCAGTCACGGCCATCTATACCAGAAAAATGCCTCAGTTCACACACCCTAAACCCCACAGGACAGGGCCATCTGGGCTCATGCTGCCAGACACAAGGTAGCTGAACGCAAGGCTAACGCTACACACAATAAGCCCCACACAGAGACTGACGGTCTTTCCAGCTGCTCCAGGAGCACTTGGCCGCAGTCCCCAGCACTCACCTTGGTGAAAAGCCTCCACCACTGCCAGTTGCGCAGCTTGAGGTAGGCAGCACAGTTTCTCTGCAGGACCTTCATGGCTGTCAGCTGCTGCTGCCGTTTGGCAAAAGCCCTGTGGGCAAGGAAAATGGTCAGCAACACAGTGCGGGGATAGGCAAACACAGCCCAAAAGCCCTGACCCACAAACCACTGGTCATGCAGGGGTGACAAGGCCTGCCCTCCACTAAGGAACACATGGTGAAGGCCCCATGTGAACCAGCCACATCTGACCCCACTCAGCAAGAGCCGTAACTGACTGGTCATCAGTCTGCCTGTGCCCAGGGGCCTTTGCATTCAGCTGCCCAGTCCACATGTGCCCAAGTCTGAGCTATTATCGGAGGACATTGGTAGTTGATGCTTTACAAAGGGAGGTTGTAAGATGTTGGCTGGGGGGACTCTGGACAAACAAGGCTCCATTTGTCTCAACACCACAAACTCATGCTCCTTCACTCAGTGTTTAGAACACACACTGGATCACATCCTGAAACACAGATGCCTGCTGTCCTGCAGGGCAGGAGCCCAAGCTCCCTCAAAAGCTGCTCCAGACTAAGGGGCACCTCCTCCCCTGGGAGTACAGGCCTTTGTGGGGACAGGCAGGGCTTGAGTACTGTCCCCACAGGTGAAAGACTGAGGCACAATGAGCAGGAGCTTTGGGAACAGCAAATCCAACCACACAGTTGTCACTTCCCACCAGACCTGCTATCTCTCAATGGCACACCCCTTTCTACTCCTGGGAAGCAGATATCTAGAGGCAAAGGGACAGGAAAAGCCTGTAGACTTAACCACTACTGGCTAGGTGCTCCTCAACAGGAGGGCAGGCAGAGACTGGTCAGGGGGTGGGGTTGCTAGAACTCACTTCCTGGCCAGGTAGCCCCTGCAGCAGGCCTGGAAGCCTATGATGACATCGGTGATCTTCAAGTCCCGCTCCTCCTCCAGGTGGGCCAGCACGCCAGCCCGGAAGAACACTTTGCTCTGGCCAATGCGGTACAGGTTGCTGTCAAGCTCCAAGGCTTTGATCTAGTGAGAGGAAAGCAGACCGCTGACTCCCACTGTGGACCCCAGGAGGGAGCAGCTGAGAACCCGCCTTGGCCAGGCAGAATGGGGCTGAGTACCAGGGATCCTCCAGCAGCCTGTTGCTCCTCACCCAAGAGCCTTCTGCCCAGTGCCAAAGAGAGTGGAGCTTAGGGACCATGAGAAGAGGAAGAGGCAAGATCCAGCACAGAGCAAGGTGAGAAGTCAGACTTTCACAGAAACATGGGGTCTCAGAGTTAAAGGGAACATTGAGGTCTTCTCTTCTTTCCGTTTCCTGCCTTTGCACCCTGGAATCACACTCCACAAGTGCCCAACAGGTCACCTTCTAATGGGAGGCAGTCAGGCATCACTAGAGCTAAGATAAACCATATGCCATCTTGGGCCTCAGGATCCAACACTAGCTAGGGAACCCTGGGCTTAACCTCTATAAGGCCACATTCCCTCCACTATAAAATAGGAATCTTATTTTAATTTAAAACGGAAAAACAACATTCAAAACAAGTAATTGTACCTCCTTGGAAGCAGGACTGTAAGAACTAAAACAAAGAATGCACAGAAGTGCTAAGCACAGGCTCAAGAACCATCAGCATGGAGGAAGTCATTAACTGGAGCAACTCAAGCAACAGCCAACAAGGAAGGATATGTGTGCTATACCCTATCTGCCTGCCTGCCTGGTTGCCTGGGAGAGAAGGGATTTAGTGCAAGTTCTCAACACAGTGCAATCAGTTCTCTGAGTGTCCACAAATGGCCCTGTAGTACAGGAAGCAGCACTGTTAAAAAGACAAAAGACCAGGGCAGGAGGCACCAAGTGGTCCTATGCCCTCTGCCACCCAACCCTCTCTCTGTGAGACAAGCTCTAGGACCCCTATCTTCCCTGTAGAGTCAGGGAGGGAACTTCAGCACTGCTGGAGGAACACAAGTCCAATCAGCCAGCAAGTGACTGAGGCTCCATAGAAGAGGTGGTTCAGAGGCGAGCTGCAGGTACTCCCTCTGCCCTTCCTCTACTGACTGACAGGCCTCTGGAGAACAGGGAGCTGTCCAGACATGGACGGTCTCCATGTCACTGAATATAGGCTTCTGCACATCTGACACGTTGAGTGTTCTTCTCTTTCCTTCCCACCAACTACCCACACCACCAGTCCATCTCCTCTGATTCTTTAGAAAGACTGGGAAAGTAAAACTAGACAAAAGGCAGTGCCAGCCCTGGGCAGGATGCCTGAAATGTAGAAAAAAAAAAGACTCAGGATGGGATTCAGGCCTGGCTTGGCCACTGAGCACCACAGAGCTGTCATTCACCCAGAAATCAGAGTATGCACTGTACATCAGGCACCAGGTGAGGGGCTAGAGGAAGGATAGAGGGAGAGAGAAAAAGTCAAGAAGCTCAGACTCCAGAGGCTTTGGGCTGGCTATGGCATTTCAGGCCACTGCCCCCACTGTAAGATGTCCACTCACACACTGGACACAAAACTCAAGAGATGTGAGAATGTTCCTCAAATGGAACAGGGCTCCCACCAGAGCCCTTTGTGCTATGGCTTAGCTCTTGTCTACCAGCCTGATCCCAAATATTACCCCTTACAAGCCAAGGACTGTGAGGGCTGCCACTCAGCACCTGGCACAATGAGAACCTGAAGTCCAGCAGGGACAACAGCATGACCATCAGTTGTTCAAAAGTGCAACGGATGGCCCAGGCATCAAATGTCCTCCTTCCTGGGAAACAGCAGCAAGACTCACCATGAGCACACATGCCTGCTTCCCATCCATGAAGCCCTTGGGAATAGAGTTGGGTGTCAGGATCTCGTATCTGAGGAAGGAAAGAGAAGCCTGGTCATCCTGTCCCTTGCTTTAATTCTGGAATGTATACGGGAAGTTAAAAGCACCACTGTAGTGTACCAGGTATAGAATTCTTTTCACCAAGTCTCCTAAGGAAGAAGACACTTGGCAAATTCTACCCTACTCTTTCTAAGGCTGAATGACCCAAGAGGCCTGTGGTTTTCCCGAAAGTGAAAGGAAACTTGTGGACTGTTTCAATCATTGAGGGTGAGCTTCAAACTGGACTCATTCCCTGCTAACTGACCAGAGTCCTCATTTGGGGTCTGGGGCAGTTTCCTTGGGACACTCAAGATGGACTCAAGATGGTCCAAGAAATAAAGGGCCAAGTCATGGCAGCAGTCAGTACTAGACACAGTCACTGGATAAACAGAACCATGCTGCCAACATCTACACACACAAGAAGCTGTAGCCTTTGAAGACTTCCATCTCCATAAAGCAACTTCAATGCCACATGTCCAGGTGACCCTTTGAGAATTCTTTTCACAGCACTAGGCTGGAGTAGTCACTAGGAGTGAAAACCAGCACACTGATCTTTTCAGTGGTAAGATAGAGACATCTCTTCTCACATAAAGGGTGGCAAAGAGAAAGGGTGTGTAGAGAGTGGGCCAGGCTTTGTTCTGTGTTGATGGGGACATGGCCCCCATTGAAGGTCCCTGCTGGAAGCAACCCACCTCTAGGGCTCACTCCACTTGCAGCCAAGCCCAGAAGAAGGCTCTGCTCACCTCTGCCGGAACTCCTGGAAACCACCCTGTTGGGGAAGCCCTGGCGGCAGATGCGGATGCCCTCAAGAACGCCATTGCAGCGCAGCTGGTCCAGCACCAGGTGTGGGTCCAGTTTGCCAGCCTGGGGAAGAAAGCACACAAGTGAGGTCTCACTGGTTTACCCAGGAGCTGATGAGAAAGCCCTCTGAACTCAGCAGGGCGAGAGCCCAAGAGAGTCACTGAAGCCCACAGGTTCTGACAGTCAAGTGCAATGAGAGGCTACAACGAAACAGTGCAACCAACAGGAAAGGCAAGCTATAAAGGCAGTGCATAAACTAGGCCCCCAGAACCAGCTGGCAGGACTCAGTCGAGGCTCTGCACACTCTGGGTGGAGGAATCACAGCTGCTGGGGAAACAGACAAGGAAAAAGACCCCGTACCACTGTGCCCTGCCCTACCACACCACCCACCCCACCACCCCACCACTAGCCCACCTTCTTCTCATGGTTGGGGATGATACAGCGGACAAAATTGGGGTTGGTGTTTCTCAGTGTAGCCATCAGCTTGGCCAGCTGCTCCTTATAGAGCTGCCCCACAGTGCGGAACATGCCCTTCCGTGTCTTGAAGGCCCCAGGCAGTGCTGTCTCAGACATGCCGGCCACCTGGTCTAGGCCGATGATGCGGTCCACTGCGGAAAAAACCAAGCATATGAGTGCCCAGCAATCCCTGGTGAGGGATGGAGGACACAAAAAAGACAGACATTAGGACAGAAAAAGGACAGAGACAATATGGAGTTGCAGGACCCTTCTGCTGGGAGATATAAAGCTGAGATGGCTTTCTGTGTGGAGCAGACCTAACTCAGGCAGGAAGGAAGCACGGGGGAAGAGGACAAAATCCCTAGGCCTGCCTCTCTCGGGGAGCAGTGCACCCACCAAGGCCAGCCTCGGGTTCACATCTCCTATCCTCAGCCTGCTCTGGAAGCTCCTGATCTCAGAGACAGGATCAAATGGGAAATGTACTTAGGGACACAGAACTCCAGGAGATTGGTTCTGAGGGGTTTAAAATCTGGCTTAGTGTATACTACAGTCCTGTAGTCCCAGGTGGAAAAGAAGATCTTAGGGCTGGCAGTGTGGCTCAAGTGGTAGAGCATCTGCCTGGCAAGTACAAGGCCCTGAATTTAAACCCCAGAACTACCAAAAACAAAAAAAAACACCACAATCAGTATCTTGCATTCAGTGACTTTTACCTAAGGGAATTAGGCTAGGCAATGGGAGCTCTAGCGATATCCTGCCTTTGTCAGTGGTGGGGGGGTGGTTCTCTTATCTGCAGTCACCCAGGCAGAGATCTCTAAATCAACACATGGTGACAATGGAACCAGAGCTCTGAAGAAACACTACTAGCCATAAATATCCCCGAGGGTCTCCTCACATCTTACTCCACTAGTCTCCTGGCTCTCTTAGACCAACCCCAAAGGAAACAGCCCTTACTCAGTAGACTCCTGCCTACCAGCAGTGAAACAAGCTGCTTCCTCCCAGTAAACAGCAAAACCAAACAAAATGGCCAGCCATTTGACATCAGTTTGAAGCAAGCAGATATTAAATCTGAAGCCTTCCATGGCGGGATGTAAAAAGTTACAAATTCTATAGCAACACCCATTTCCTTTTCCATTGTGACCAGGTCTCTGTTATTTATTTGAAGATAGCAAAGGACAGAAGCCAGAAGTAAGCTGGAAGCTGCAAGCCAGCCAATTAGATTGCAAGGCATCTTTGACTTCACAAACCCACGATGGCAGGGGAAAGGCGGGATCTAACTGGCCACCACCAACTTCCTGAGTGGCTGGGGAAAGTCACTCAGGTTGTGCAAGGGAAGGTGAATGCAGCCCCATAGTAACTAGCCCTTTTAATACCTGTCCTGTTCCCCTGGCCCAGATGGTACAACTCTCACTGACTGACTGCTGAACAAACATACAGAAGGCATTCAGCTTTCACGAGCACAGATATACAGGAGCATGCTGCCCCTGGACTTGGGCAAGACACCTGCGGTCAGTCAAGCAGTGAGAGGTCGGAAAGATGGAGCTCTAAGGAGAAGATGAGCTTTTAACAGTTTGTTCCCCCCGCTCCACACCCCTCACAGGTAACATGAAGCCTCCAAATAAGCCAACATAGGGCCTCATTTGTCAGATTCTCAACTGGAGGCCTGTGACAGGTGCAGTGGGAAGCCTGCAGAAGTCCAGGGCAGTGCAGGGCAATGGGCACAGCCAGGCAGGAGGAGCCAGAGGCAAGGAGAACATAGCAGAAGTGCCTCTTGCACAGCTTTGGGTGCAAACACACACACACACACACACACACACACACACACACACACACACGACCCCACTCCGGGTGGCCAGTCACCTGATTCTAGGTGGAGAATGGGAAAGCGGTGATAGAAATAGGCTCTCTGAGTGTTCTGCATCTCTGCAACAGAGAGGTTAAAGCAAGACCCAGGCAAAGGCAGGGAGTAACAGCAAGAAAGAACAAATTCAAAGCAACCAGCCTACCAAGGAGTAGAGGCAGAAATGCAAGGAGGTGCAGGGTCCAGAGACCTGTGCAGCAAGGCTGGGCTGCCTTGGACTTTGCCACCTGTGGAAGGGCCATCTGTGGCCCACAAGGTCCAGAGGCAATTGCTACAGTGCATGCTCAGGGCGGCCTCCACCTTTTGGTTCAAGACCCTTCTTGTGGGAGCTATGGAGGGCAGAAACCACCTGGCTATGTCAGGGTCCCATGTTTGGTGGCTGGGCCCACTGCAGAGGTGAGACGATAACTAGCCACACAGGGAGGCCAGGGTGGAGGGCAAGGGCGTACCATCCTTCCACAGCTCCGAGACGAACTTATCAGAAGATTGGTGGAGAAGCGTGGCGATGTTGTCATTCAAGGGGTCCATGTTCTTCATCAGCCACTCATCAGCTTTGTAATCCACCTGTAAGAGTCAGAGTCCTGGTCATGGGCTACTCTGGGGACCTCCCCCAGGGTCAAGGCAAAATCAGAAAGTGTCAATACTCCTGATCTGGTTTTTCTGTCCCCAAGAAAGAAATGGCAAATGACAAGATGTTCTCTGTGCTGTTGTAAATAAAAGCAGGTAATTTAAAAAACAACACAAATAGCCACCAGGGGACTGCTAAGGGAACGGCTATAACAGAACATTACCTTCTTTTAAGGTAATATGAACGTGAAAAAAAAATCCTTTTTCTTTATGTCCACCATAGAACACACAACCAAAGTGCTAAGAACATTTCTTCTTAGTCATGAGACAAGCAATATTTGCTTTGTGTTTTTAGGACATTTACTTTTTCTCTAATGTGCATGCACTGGTCTTGCCTTTTTTTTTTTTTTTTGACTATGTTCTTCACAATACAAATCTATATTTTCATTGTAGAAGGTCCCAGAATCACACCAACAGTGCAGCAAGCATCTTGAGCTCCTGCTTCCTAATCTGCGCTGCAGTCCTGAAGCCTGTAGGTGGCCCTTCTGCCCTACTGTTTCTTTTTTCTTCCTAATCTGATACATGCACTTCATCTTCCCTGGGATCAGGGCATGCCTGCTGCCAGATAACAAAGCCCAGAGACTGACCCTTCCATCTCAACACAGCCAATGTCCTCATTCTTCTAGCTGTGATGACACAACCTGGTTGATGCTGATTTCACCCTCAGGCCCTAGATGGCATGCAGAGGGGAATAAAGGGGACAGCAAAAACATCCTGCAAACATCTGTGTGTACAACATGTGCATTTCTAGAAGGTGGGAGTGAGCACGAGACTTGGAAGCATCCAAGGGGAACTGAACACAGTGCTTGGGTTTTTCTGATTATTTTTTCCTGGGTAGTTTTAAGAGAGTGGCTTCAGCAGCCTCAGAAAACACCCAAGAGCCACAGGAAAGGCCAGGAGTTGTGGGCCACGTGCCAAAGTGCAGGCCACACTTGGGGTTACCACTGAGGAGGGGCCAGCCCTGTTGGTCTAACTGCACACTCAGGCTGTAACTAACAGAAACTTTATGCAAGAAGCACAGAACTTATCAAGAAAAAACCAGTATTAGTCTACACACAGATTCTGTAGCTAGGTTAAGTCGAAGCTCCGGGAATATGGGGACTGGGAAGATGAATGCCAGCTAAGGGTCAAGGCTGCGCAGCCTGGCAATGAAAGTAGGTGTCATCTACAGTGGTGGCCCTAAAGCAGGGGCAATTCCCTGCCCCCACGTACAGGACATATTTGGTAACGTCTGAGACAATCTGGGCTATTCTGACTAAGGAGGGTGTTACTGACTGACCTCTGAAAGTAGGGTAGAAGTCAGCATGCACAGGACACACTGCCTTGGCCCTGGAGCACTGGCCCAGGCCATGCCTCACAAGCTCACTTCCTACCATAAACCCGTATGGCAGATGCTTACCCCCATTCTCCAGGTGAGGAAACCAAGGCTCAGGGATTAAGTACCTGGCCCAAAGCCAGGTCACGAGTGGCATAGCTCTTCCGCAGCTAAAGTCAAGCCTAACAGTAATACAGGATACCATGGCCACCAGCCTCAGCATGCTCAGGGAGCACTGTAAGCTTCCCCCAACACGGAGTGTACAAAGGTGCTGTGTGAGTCATCAATGTCGACAACCATCACAAGTCATGCTATCTGATGAGACATGAGCAAAAAGTGCTTGGGCCACACCCCCAGCCCCTGCCTGGTTCCTGCTTCTAGAGAAAGTGAACCCCATCTCCCTGTGTAGGGCCCTCCTGAGGGCTGCCTCACCTTGCCGGCATAGTGGATGATACAGAAATCAGCCTTGTCCTTCAGCTGCTTGGGCTTCTGGAACTTGGGGTGAGTGCCCTGCTCCTGTACCACCTTCTCCACAAAGCTCTTGTCGGTGGCTTTGGGGAACCAGCACTCTTCATCAAGCAGGGCCAGGATGCCAGGGGGGCCTGCCTGGAAGAGGCACAGCATCAGTACAGGTGAGCAGCAGGATGTCACACCCATCCACAAGAGGCCCCAGGAACCAGAAAGCGGCCATCACTCTCCTCCACAAGAAAAAAAAGGCATTAGAGAAAGCCTCAATTGAAGAGGCCTAGTTTGAAGACAGACCTCTGGGGCCTAGACAGTGGCTGAGACCCAAACCAAATGATCCATCATAATAGGCCTGCAGTGTTGATGAATAGCTCGTGAAACCCTGGAAAGCACAGCTAGACTTCCCACACACCCATGCAGCTGGTCCCTGCCTGTGCGGAGTCAGCCCAAGGAGCTATCACTGGACTCGGGGCTCCTCTCTCGGAGCACCGCCCCTCAAGCTCTGTCTGCACAGCTGCATGATGAGGCCCCTTGAGGAAAAGAGAGCCCCAGAGACCCAGCCTTCTAGACAGAGAACTTACAGAGGAGAAAACACCCAGACATTGCAGAGAGAATGTCAGAGACAAAGCCACGTGGACTCCTGATAATTAGAAATCTCAATTGATTAATTAAAAATCAAGACAGCATTATCACTAAAGTAAATAGTTTCATGTTGGGAGAGTGGAGTTTCAGTCCCCCTGCTCCGAGCACGGTGCTTTCAAAGTGAACAGGATTCATCCCGGGCCTTCTAGTTAATGCTTCCATGTGACTCAATGTCTGTGTGCTCTGCACGCAAGCTAAGCAGGACTCGAGGAAAAAAGTAAGTGTAGTTGTGTTCAACTATATTCAGGAGATAACCGGAAATGGACACACCTCAGGCTTTGGCACAAAGCACAAACAGTGGACCCAAATTCCATCTGACAAGAGCTGGACCTGCTTAGAGAAGGGCAAAGGCTTTCTTCTGGCCCCAGCCATCCTGAACAGCCAATGCCATGGGATAAAGGTTGTGGGGCTGTGTAGTCCTAAGTGGGCAGAGGCTAAGCTTCGTATGTGTAGTGGAGGAGAGCATTCGACACCCAGGGTCTGAACAGTTTTGTGCTGCAGCACACATGTGTGACAATAGGACCTTCTTCACAAAAGAACGTGGCCACTTCTTTAAAACAAAGAAACATGACCTGTGTGTCTACTGGAACTGAAGACTGGATGCTTGGTCTCAGCCATACCCCCTCAACTGGCTGCAGAATCTTTTCTGAGGCACCAAGACCTCAAAGGTTTAGCCCTCCTTCAGACAGCACCAACAGCAAGAGGAATCTGACATTCTGCAATGTCAGGACTAGAGGTGCCACATAGAAGAGTAGCAAGAAGCCAGGTCTGCAGTGAAGACCAGCCCCGCCCTTACTGGTTTCTCAATGAGGTCAATGCAGGGCTGCAGGTCAAGGCCAAAGTCAATGAAGTTCCATTCGATGCCCTCACGCTGGTACTCCTCCTGCTCCAGGATGAACATGGTGTGGTTGAAGAGCTGCTGCAGCTTCTCGTTGGTGTAATTGATGCACAGCTGCTCGAAGGAGTTCAGCTGCAAGTGAAAGCATCGTCAAGAAGGCCCTTCCTGCAAAGGGCCCAGGAACCCAAGGCAGGAGTGCGAAGGTGGCCACCTCCATGTGCCACCTGCACAGCCGGGGCTCCCAGTCCTGCACTGTATCACCCCAGCAGCAGGAGGCTCTCAGCTGGGGCCGTGGGCCTCTCCAGCAGCCTGGCAAAGATGTTTTAAGATGTACAAAGTGAATTACCAAGCAAAGGTATCGTGTTGAATGTAATTATCAAAATATTGGAGTGTAGAAATATACTGTGCTCCTTATAAGCAAGAATCAGCCATGTGCTTAACTTCCAAGTTTTTGATGTAGAGATGAGTAAAATGATAGTACGAGATCTCTACAATGACTGGACTGTCAGATGAAAACTTTTGATTTCCACAAGCAATGCAAATACAAGTGTGGTTTGCGTACTTTGTTCAATGCACAATTGAATAGAATGTGTTTCAATGAGAGGCCAGTGAAAAATAACAATGCAATTTTTCCTAAAGCTGAGTTCATGGCTCCCCTGTAACCCGTGGTGGGCCCCAGGTTAAGAACCACGGATCCACAGCAATTACCACTTTCTCCTACTGCATCGCAAAGCCCGCGTGGGCAGGAACAATATCTTATGCCAGTCAACACTTGCTGGGAGAATAAATCAGACAGCACCTGCCCATCAAGTCTGCAAGTGCCTGGAAGGCCCATTCTCTCCAGCACTCTGGTGGCAGTGGGCACACTGCTGCATAGCCTAAAACACACCCACTGTGTCTCTGAGCAAAGGAGCTGGCCAGTGTGGACAGCCTCAGAACCATGGAAAGAGGATTCTTAGAGGTGGCAAGTGAGGGGTGAGGGGACCGCGAGGTGGGTGTGAGGTGAGGCTCACATCAAAGATCTCGAAGCCTGCAATGTCCAGGATGCCGATGAATGAGGCGCCCTGCCTCTTGGTCTTGTCCAGAGCTTTGTTGATGCGCAGCACCAGCCAGCGGAACATGCGCTCGTAGGTGGCCTTGGCCAAGGCCTCGATGGCAAAGTCAGCCTAAGAGAGCATCCAGGAAACAACGTCAGACACGGACTTTTAAAGTCCCCATGCCCACTGCCCTAATAATTTCACTGTGGGGGCTCTTCCCCAGAAAAACAGCCCTAAAAACAGATGAGGGAAAAAAAGCTTCGTGCATATATATTCATGTGGTGTTATTTACAATAAAAACAGTTGAAATAAGCTATAAACCTAATAATATAGGTACAGTAAACTAAGATATTTGCAAGCAGGGATGTATAAAAGTATTTACAAAAGTGATGAGGTGCCTGAGACTTGCTTCAAAATAATGTAGTTGGGGGCCAGGCACAGCACCTCACGCCTGTAATCCCAGCTACACAGGAAGTGGAAATAGGGAGGATTGTGAGGCCAGCCCAGAGAAAAAGTTAACAAGACCTCCCCTCAACCAACAAGCTGGGCACAGAGGAATACACCTATAATTCTAGCTAATCCAGAGGCATAGATAGAAAGACCACAGTCCAAGGCCAGCCCCAGAGCAAAAACATGAGATCCTGTTCAAAAAATAACTAAAGCAAAAAAACGGCTGGGGTGGGAGAAAGCAGTGGCTCAAGTGGTAGAGCATCTGTCTAGAAAGACTGAGGTCCTGAGTTCAAACCCCAGCCCCAACTCAAAAAAATGCAGTTGGGAGAGGAGGGGCAAATAAGATGAACAATGAACAGAGATTGGCCTTCAGACTCTGCCTCAAGGCCTCCCACTGGACACGTGGGGATCTTTCCATTATTTTCTCTTTTGCGTATTTTGAAAAGTTCCATAATAAAATGCAGAGTGACAGCAAAGTTTAAAAGGAGGGGCAGGCTGGAGGTGTGGCTAAAGTGGTAGAGGACCTGCCTAGCAAGTGAGAGCCCAAATTCAAACCCTAATACCAAAAAACAAAAAACAAATAAATGAAATGTCTTAAAAGAAACAGCTGCCCAATAATAATCATCATTAAGTAGGCCACTATGACAATATTTTTCCTTCTCTTTACTTTTCTGCATTTTCCTAAGTGTTTGTGCAGTTATTTCCTAATGAAACAATATTAAGGTTTCTCCTTAATTATTAAGGAAATGAACAGTTGGCAGTAATTATGCACACCGTCTTTTGAAAACAATGTTCTTGTCTTTCATATGATGGTTGTGAACAGAAGCAGCTGCAGGCTGTCAGCCACCCAGGACAGAGCCCTTTAGAGAAAGGATGAATCAATGCCACCTTCCAAGCATTGAGAGATGGAACCAGCCCCAGGACTAAAACCAGAAACCACAACAGAGGAAAGCAGTCTGGTCTAAGAGGGACCCGGCTCCAGAGGCAGCAGGCACAGTGGCCTGGCACGGACAGGAAGGCCTCCTCCTGCTCATCTCTCAGCACACACAGCAAGGCAACAGGTGGAGGAGAGATAGCCACTTTGCCTGGGTTCCAAGAAGTCAGGCAGAGTTGCCACCCTGGCACCAGGAACCATGTTACAGAAACATTGTGTCCTTGTTTCATAAGAAGCCAGGATGTGCCTTCCAGCTGTGAGGACTTGGGCAGGCCACTCAGTTTCTCAGGCCAGCTTCCTCATGCTCTAAGTGGGGGTGCCACCTTACTCGCTGCTGAGGACTACACAAGAGAACCCACACAGTAAATCCCCACAGCCAGGGAAGACATACCTGCTCTTTAGTCTGCGCCTTCTGCACATAGTCTCGTCCCACCTTGATGCGTGGGGTGAGGATACCTCTAGTGAAATCCGTCACATTGATCCCCAGGAGGTGGGACACCTTTTGGGCAGCTGGTATTTTCAGAGTAAGGAGGGGAGGGGTAAAAGATTTAATTAGATCCAAGAGAATGAGTCCCTCTGCTCAGCCTGGGGTGGGGGGGAATGTGTGATCATTCTTGGGCCCTTCTTTACCAGGGTCACACTGCCCTGAGGTCAGGTGGTTCTAAATGGACACCCCCCATCAGTGTAAAGTGAATCTTTACTCAAAAGTAGGACTCAGGGAGGCAGGCCTTCCCCAGGCCAGAGGCAGGGCAGCACATGGCAACACAGGAGCATTCCATGCAAGCCCCACACCTGTGTGTTAAATGTTTGAGAGAGACCTTAAGAAGAATGTGTTCAGACTGAGTAACTTAAATGGGGTTACATACAGCACCCAAAAGAAATAGCAGCTGCTGAGTGAGCACCGTAACACGATGTCACATCCTGACATGCTGTGGGCAAGGCTTACATTACTTTGGTGCTACAGCAGAAATCACTGTTTTAGTATCCAAGACAAGTGGTTTGGTCTCAGGAATGAATGAGGGAAGCCCCCCTGGTCCCTGTGATCAGAAGTTTTTCTAGCTCATTCTGAATGAGCTTATGAGAAAAAAGCAGGGTTGTGTCCATATGTATTTTACATCTGTACAAAACATAGAGGGAGTAGGCACAGTTACATACACCTGTAATCTCAGCCACTTGGAAGGCTGAGGCCACCTGAGGATCACAAGTGCAAGTCAATTGAGCAATGTGGCCAAACACCATTTTGAAAAAAAAAAAGCAGAAGGATATGCAGCCCTAAACACACAAAATTTTTTAAAAGAAACTTTGGAATTTCAGTAAGACTTTTTCTCTTGAGCAATTCCACACCCAGGCACCTGGCCCTGTAGTTCAGCTGAGAGGCTCCCAGATGGTACCTGTGTTGTCAGGCATGGAAGCCTGGTCTGTGTTCCGCTCCTTCTTGAAGACAATGTTGCCAAGCTGAAGAACACCCGAGATGACCCGCAGCAAGCCTTCAGGGTACAGCAAAGGTGGGTCAGAAGCAGACAAGGGTTGGAGGAAGCCCAAGTAGAGGTGGCCACTTCCCCAGGGATCCCTACACAAGGCAAGTCAAGTGCAGCACTGCACTCCCTGGGGCCCCAGGTCTGGCCTATGGCATGTGGTGGCCCAGCTATCCTGGAGGGCTCACCACCATCTGCCAGTGTGGCTTCTGTCTCCCAGGCCTCTCACACAGCTCAGCTTGGACAGTCCCATGCTCAGATAAGAGCTCTAATAACACTCCCAGTGTTTCTAAATCTGGAGTGAGGACATACCTGTAGCCCAGGGCCCACTACCTGCATATAAATAAAATTTTATTAAAACACTGCCATGTCTGTTAATTTACATATTGTCTGTCAATGAGCAGAGATAGTTCTAATCCTAAGCCTCACTCCACTCTCCCATGATACACACTCTGCCCCAAAATAGACAAAGCCAGAAAATGGAGCACACTCCCCAGCCCCTATCTTTCTGTGGACTACAGTCTTAGGTAGGCAGAGGACACAAGACCCTCTTAACCCTCCCTATATGGAGCCAGAAGACACAGCTCATCCCACATCGCTATTTACTCTGGGCATCACCAACACAAACAGCCCTTGCCAGCATATTTCATACTCCACAGAGATGGAGCAGGAATAGTCCATTGTCTGCACTGGCCAAGGCTGCCTCAGTGGACTCAGGCCCTGGCAGTAATGCACCATGCTTTGTTCCCCTCTGCACCAATGCCTGCAGTACCATCAGGAACAAAACCTTGAAGCTCCAAGCCCACTCACAAGGCCTTCCTCCAGCTTCTACAGGGTTCCCCAAAATCAGAGCAATTGGAGGCCCCTGCAGGCACAACAGCCAGCCTCCCTGCCCCCTCACCACAAGAGGGCCAGCCGTACCCATTTGCTCCTCTTCTGGGATGCCCATAATCCTCATGGCCTCCATGGTTTCCTGGAACATGTCCTTGTCCTGCTGCCCAGGGATGGTGACATGCCCATTGGACAGGAAGCGGTATTTGTTGTACGGTTCCAACAGGAGGTCAGCTGCAAGAGGTGAAGGGCAGGGTAGATCAGTGAGGTGCTGAAAGCAGAGGCCCCATTAATGCTGTAACCTCCAAGGTTTGGAGACATGTGAACAGCCCCAGAGCCCAAGGATGCTCTGGGAACTGCAGAATTGCAGCCCTGCCAACTACTCAGCATGAGGCTGGTATGCACACAGCAGAATGCTAGGGCCCTGACATTCAAGGCCCTGCCTGTGATGCACCCTTGCCTTCATCCGGCATGCTCAGAAACAAGCGACCAGGTCCTAAGACATCCGAGAACAGTCTCCTCCCCAAATCAAGCTACTGCTACCATGTCCCCCAGCTCAGTCTTAGCAAGGGCCCTAGCACCACAACCCAGCATGATTATGACTCACTCTTCAGGTGCTCGCCAGCCCCAGACAGCAGGTAGTAGAAGATGTGAAAGGTCCGTTCCTCCTTGGCTTGGCGGATAGCACGAGACTTCTCCAAAAGATCTTTGCAGACATTAAGGAGCAACACAAGTTGGGAGGGAAAGCATTCCCTCTGCCTCCCTCTTATCCCCATCAAAAGGAACCAAACGTCACCAGGAAGAAAAAATGGCACAAAATGGTGAACCAGAGCAAAAGCAAACTACCTGGGTTCCACCCTTCAAGCAGGGTGGCTTTAAAAGTGCAGCTGGCACCCTTGAGAATCTAGGTAATTGGTCACCTTCTGACAAGTGACTGACAAGTGACTGGAGCACTCCATAAGCAAAGGCCACGCTGCTGATGCATGGAAGATATAAAGAAATACCCACCCAGACACCATCCCCTCTGGGACCTGAACTGGTGAGTTTCAGTATTTCTTTCCTGATTCAAGAACCTTATCCAGTGTGTAAAACCCTGAGCTCTGCGTTGAACTTGCAGTCAGCTCATCCTGGTATCCCAACAACACAAAGGTTGTGTCACAATGGGCCCAGAAAAGAAAATGCTGGAAGCAGAAGACAGCCTCTTCTCTATAGAGGCCACCTCCTTCCCCCAGACCCATCTCTAATTCAGTTGGCCACAAGGATACAAGTCTCGATGTTGGCACCCACGATGTAACCATTGACATCAAAGTTGATGCGGATGAATTTGCCCTGAGGAAAGACAAATGAAGGGATCAGAGGCCCCTGTTTTAAAGAGCTAAGTTGCAAAGAAGAGGCCAAAGCCACCCAGCAGTGACAGGCTAGTGGTAGAAAGCCAAAGGGCCACGTGTGCCCCTGTGCCAGGCCAACATGACATGCTAAGAGCCAGAGTCTAGCCCAGCCTGAGCCCTGAGCTCCTCTATAGAGGAGAGGAAGAGAGGCCCATTATTGGCAGTACATGACCTAGTCCTGGGAACTAAGTGGTCACTGCTGTGGCAGGATACTCTGGGTATCCGCTCCCTCGCTGGCTCTTCCCACCTTTTGTGAAGATTAAAGAAGCTACTTATGGCTGCAGGTCCTCACTGATGGGAGCCATACACCCTACTGGACTAGGAAGCACCAAGTTCAAGCCCTCCTCATCCTGAAGTGAGAGCACCCAGGTGGAAGTCATATATACCAAAGCTCTGTGTAGGGTTCTCTTTCCCAAGAGCTGGGGCACTACTGCCCCATACTCACAAATCGCGAGGAGTTGTCATTCTTCACGGTCTTGGCATTCCCAAAGGCCTCCAGGATGGGGTTGGCCTGCAGCAACTGCCGCTCCAGCTCCCCCTGTGAAGGAACCCCGAAACTCACTTAAGGCCAGGCAGCAGCTGGGGCTGCCAGGTCTGCCCCATCTCAGGAGAACAGCAGCAGACCTAAGTCTGCAGGCCCAGTGTGCCACAACAGAGGCTTCCAGTGGCTCTGGTGGCTGCCACCCCAGTCTTGACCAGGGTCCTGTATGGCTCCAGTGCATCTTTGGAAACCTGTACTGGTTTAAATGTCCATGAGCTGACTGAGCAGCAGCCCAGAGGTGAAAACAGGAAGCCCACAGCTCCAGAAACCTGGTCCTAGAGGAGCGCACTGGAGAGCAGTGAGTGGACAAAGAGACGTTGTAGCACTGGCCCTTCCCAGGCACAGTCCCATTCTGTGGACAATGGTCTCCTAGCCTCTCATCTCCAATCCTCACCTTTCTCCCCGACCCCTTTTCATAAGACCAGAAGAGGGAGAGAGACCCACAAAAGACTAGACTGTGGTCTAGTCAACTCCTCATTGTCCCTACTGGGCTCTGCCCTGCCACCCCCAAAACTACTTCCACCACAGCAGTGTCTGAGCATGGGATCTGCAAGGTCCATTATGGGGTCTAAGCTATTTACTGATAGTGTCAACAAATCCCACTTGTGGACTCCTTCCTGGTGCTTGGGAGCTGACAAAAGGTACCCTATGTTTTCTCATCCCTGGATCCTCATCACACTCAGGGTGGGCAGGATAGAGCACAGCCCCATACCACAGAAGAGGAAGCTGAGGTTGAGGGGGGAGAAATGACTTGCCCAAGGTCATCCAGCCACCAATCAGCAAAGCAGGCAATCCAATTCAAGCCTTCTATCTCACTCCTGTCAGCCACTGCTACATCTGCTCCAGCCCCTCATGGTGGTCTACATAATCAGGTAGTGAAACCAACCATCATCTTCCACAGCCAGCCAGGTAACAGCCAAGACTAGCTGAGGAAAATCGGATCTCATTCCCCATAACAGCTGGGACCCTTAAGGGGGAAGAACCTCACAGGTGGGATTTGTCTTTATTAGCAAGGCTGGAGGCCAGCTAAGTCTTTACAGGGTAACAGCGACCACCTAAGAGTGATGAAGGGAAAACTGGCAAGAGCCACAGGAAGTCCCAGGAGAGACAGGGATGCCTGCCCTCCAGCACACCTGCTACAGACACAACTGTCTGCAGGGCACTAAGGATGCTCTGGACTCTGGCCCAGCCAGGCTGGAGGCCTACCAGAGACTGGAAGGGGACCAGGCAGAACCTCCTCCCTCTCAGCCACCTTCAGCCAGAACAACTCCCAGGCTGGGGAAGCCTCACTTGCAGACAATACAGATGAGTAGAGGAGTCCCTCTGGTGCCTTGTCCTGTGGGAGGGTCAGCAAGGGCAGGTCAAGGGGCAAGGGGCAAGCCTACAGAGCACGTTCCACATGTACACTTGGCACCAGCAGTCACTGGACACTGGACTCTCACCCACAGGCCTTGGGCGGGCCTGGGAGTTGGTCCTTGGGAAGTTGGCCGAGACAACCCACGGAGCCAGATTTGGATGGAGGAGTTCTCCACCCAGTGAAGCCCCTCGCCAAGCCCAGGCCAGGCTGCCAGGCTAGCCAAGCCGCTCCCATTCCTGTTTCCACAGACAGACACAGTGCGGCACCACCAGAGCCTGTGCCTGCCTGGTTTGGAGGCCAAGTGGAGGCCTCTGTTTCGAACCACATGTGAATGCCCTGGAAAGTGAGACTGTGGGCTGACTGGGAGCAAGCTCTGTGAATGCAAAGACAAGTTCTCTGCTGTCAGCGATGATGGCAAACCTACAACACCAAATTGGGCAAAGAGACTTTAAATTTTTTTGATGTGATTATGTAATATGAACTCATAAAGTAGTAGATGCTCCTAATTTAGAATTACCAATCCAGTTTCTGAAAGGCTTCACTGGGTGGTGTTTCTGCCAGTGGGTTCTGATTAGTACATTAAAAACTAGAGGGAGTAAGGGTTACAGATCATTGTTCAGACTATGGAAGTCCATCTGAACAGTCCCTTCTTCCAAGCTCAGCTCTGCCAACCTGCAGCGCAGGCCAGAACCACATCTTGGCGATGGTCAAGTAGGTCACTGCAAGTGAGAGAGAGAGCTCTCTCCCAGATATAATACAACAGGCCTCCTGGTGCAAGAGCAGTCTGCCAAGTTCAAGAGTACCTCATGCCCCAGCTGCATGTGGAAATCAACCACACTGCCAGTGGCCTTTTACAATGAGGGGCTGAACAGTCCCTGGACGCCAGAGGCAACATGGTCAATCACTCTAGCTGGACATAGAGCTAGAGACAGGCACCTACCACATTTTGACAGATTTGCTTCCACTTTCACCTCCCATCCCCAAACTGACCATCTTCACTGAGTGCTTGAGGCCTGCCTTCCCCTCTACAGCTGAGCCTACATGTAAGGGACCTGGGGCCCTTTTATTGTTCTCTAACTGTGGTCCTGTCCCCTATTCTCCAGTGCAGAGACTCCAGTGTCACCCTCCAGAAAACCAGTCACACACCAAGCATTCAATAAATAATTGGGAAGTAGATTTTACAGCAAATTCAGAGGCGGAAAACCACAGTTAGAAGAACTTCTAATCTCATAACTGTTTTTAAAATAGGCCTCCCAAAAAGAATGGAAAATGGGGGGGTTGGAAAGAGAGAAAAAAAGAAACTTTATTAGTTTCTAAATATAACTCCTGACACCCATGGAAAAAGCTTCAGAAAGTCCTCAGAAGTTTGGCACATGAAAAGTTGCTTCTGGTCTGGTTCCAGAAGATTGCACATGAGGACATTCTGTAGGACGAACCCCAGTTCTGCATGCAGAGACACACACCCCGACTTACTGATGAAGCTGCACACAGCAAGCCAGTAAGGTGGCACCACCAAGAGTGGTAGAGCTCCCCTGATGGGGACACCACTGGCACTTAGGCATCTCAGTGTGCTGAGAGAAAGAGAGAGCACCCCATAGTCATGCTTAAGACTGACCACCCAACTCCTGGGAAACTCCAGTGTGGGACCTCCCAGTATTGCTTCCAGCCAGCACAGTGGCAGCAGATGAGGGGCCAGCCCTCTGTATTGGGTGTGGACACAGAGTCTGTGGGGCTCCAGGAGAGCAGGTGCCCATTCTACCGTGTCATGGTCAGGGCTCTGCCCAGTGCCTGGTAGAAATCTGGGCAGGACTGAGTTTTGAGAACAGCTAGGTGATGAGGAAAAATCCACTCTGCAGGGGTTGTCATTTCAGAGTGCATGAGAGGCCACTGTGCGTCACACCCAACCCCTCCTCCCAAGACAGTCAGTGAGCCGAGCCTACAAGAAGAGTTCTAGCCGCAGAAAGTGACAATGTGTGGAGTGAAAAGCTGCTTAGAAAAAAAATACAGAATCCCAGGGCACACGATGGCAGAACACGCATTCCCGGTGCAGAACGTGCAGTAAACGTGCAGCTCACCTAGCCAGGACGCTGCTGAGTTCCACCAAAATCCATCAAGGGGAAGAGGGAAAAAAATGGAAGTAAGATGACTTTCCAATTACCCTTCCTCTGTTTGCGGGGTGGGGGGGCTGTCCTCCCAGAGACATTTCAACAGCAGGGAAAAGAAACAGGAATTCGAAGGCAGGCCTGCTGGAGACCCTTCACGCCTCCATCAGCTTCAGAACCAAGTCTTGGGCTTTCTCTTCCAGCCTCAGAGTTGAAGGACATGCAGTAATTGGCTGCTGACGCCAAGACTGCTGCTAAGCAAACCTTGGGGACAGCTCCAGTCTCCATTGCCACTCACATAGTTAGGAGGCTGAGGGCAGAATGGGCTTGCTACCACCAGACCACTTCCAAGGCCACTACACTGTCATCTACAAAAGTGGAGCGGCCTCTGCTTCGTTCCCTGGAGCATCCCATAAAGCCAAGGCCAAGGCCATAATCTCCAAGTCCTCCTCCTCCATCATCCCACTGAAGACCCCACAAGCACTTACCTGGTCCTTCTTGCTCTTGTGTGAGGAAGCCACATGTGCCAGGTACTGGATGACTTTCTTGGTATTCTCTGTCTTGCCCGCTCCAGATTCTCCCCTACCAAGAAAGTGAAGGAAGTCCTCAGGGGAGACGTGTCCATAGCCTTAGCCTCTGTCCCTCTGCTGCCTACCATTCTGTCCTTCTGTTGGGTGCCCACGAGAGAGCCAACACCTACTGGCAGGAAAAGGGACAGCAAAATTCTGGAATCCTCACTCAGTCTGTTTCCCATGGTCCTCCAGGGGTCGGACAACACATTCACCGCCTGCCCTGGTCATTTGGCAGCCTTCACAGCCAAATGTTTTAGGAATCAGTGGGAGGCAGCTGTTGACTTCAGGGTCAAAGGCACTTATGTGAGTTCCTTTAAAACTTCACTTGGGGGCGTAGTCTATGCCATTAAGTCACTTGGTGGTAGGGTTTATCTATTTCCTTGTTAAGATCAGAGGGTAACTAGTTGTGACCTGAATCAAGGTAAAGAAAGCCACCATTTAAAGCCAGAAGGAATGGTTTCTGCTCAGGAGTTCTGTGGGTGAGAAGACTCTTGGTTTTCCTCTGCTATAACCCCCTCACTTGCACACCCACTCCTTTGAGAAAGACAATAAAGCCTCCAGCTGTGAAATCAAATTCATGGTACTGTGTGGTCACTGGGCAACAAACACACCACCCTAAGTCCTATCCCCAGGGAGATGGAGAGGACCTGAACTTATCAACCTGGGTCTCGGAAGAGTAAGAATATTCTTTCATCAAGAACAAGAACAGGGCTGGGTTCAATCCCAAGCACCACAAAACAAATACAAAAACAGATCACCCAGCACCAGACAGAAAAAAAAACACTTACGTGCACAGAATAGACTGATCTTCCCGATCTGAAACAAAGGAGACATCAGGTTAACTTCAGCCAGACCAGAGACCTCCCCGTTTGGCTCCTGAGAGCCACCCATTTCCCAGACAACGAGCACAAACTTGCAAATGCTGCCCCTAAGGGACTCTGACAACCCACCAACACAGGCTGATCATGCAAAGAAGCATTTCAACGCAGAGCCCTGAGCAGCTGCCTGCCCCTTGGGAGTTCAGACTGACACCCACACTGCCCGCCCATCCCAAGAGACCCAAATAGTTCTGTTTCACAAGAAAACAAGGAGAAAGCCAACTTCTGGAAAGCTCCCAAAAGCTACTTCCCTGAGAACTGAGGTGGGCCTGCCCTTGTGCACCCATAGGTAGAGCAAAGGCCATCAGAAACAAGGCCTGTGGCCAGTGTTCTAAATGCTGCCCCCATTTAAGGAGCACTGTTTAAGAGGATAGGGAATAAGGCAGGGGGCAGAGGCAGAGGCCATGTAACAAGGCCTGCCATTGCAATGGGACAGCCCTGGCATAAGATGCCACCTCATACATGGAGTGTGAGACTCAGGTCACTGTGAAGCCTTCCCTGAGCCCTGGTCCCTCCTCTATGTTGTGGAATGACACACAGCATGTGAACACACTAGCCTGGTGTCCAGTATTCACAACACTCAATGATGTCAGGGAACTTGAGAAGAACGACAGCTTCTACAAATATCTGACAGCTTGTTTTCTAGGCCTGGCAGCGAAAATTTCCAACAGCCATTCCCAGCTCCACAAACAGCTCAGCACAAATGGATATACATACTCCCCTTTGAAGCACAGAAAACAGCACCCCAGTCTTTGAAAGCTAAGCTGGACAGACATACTTCCAAACAATCTGCTAATACATATCAGTGCTAGGTGTCCAATCTTAAGCACTAGCTGAAATATGAACACATTTTTCCCTTTCTATCCCACACCACATAACACTCCTACCAGCTGGGTATGGCGCTGCACACCTGTAATCCAGCACTCAGGAGGTGGAGGCAGGAGGATTTCAAATTGCAAGGCAGCCTGAGCTACGTAGCAAGACCTTGACTCAAAAAACCAAAGGCTGGGGATGTACCTCAGTGGTACAGCACTTGTCTAGCATAGGTAAGGCTCTGAGTTTGATCCCTAGCACCTCAAAATAATAAAAATAATAACAACAACCACACTCCTACCCTCCCTGCAGTCAAATCAGCCTGAATCCAGCCTGGGGCTGCTAACAAACATCTGAGCTGCAGTAAAATATTCATTCTGCCATGTTCCTAACACAAAGTTGATATGCTACTAGCTCCACTCAGGATTATTTTGAAAAATAGAAATATCACATAGAGTGGACCCGGTTTGGTACCCTGTGAAGTGAGTTCCCCAAACAGCCATTGTCTATTTACTCCCCCATCACAACGCTGCCTAGATGGGGTAGCAGTGGCACTATCAGAGCAGCAGCAGGACCACCAAGGTGCCAGTGGTGCACTCAGCTATGGACAGAAATATGGATGCTGATGAGTTGTGAGGATGTACTCCCTGGTTTACACACCAGCTCAGGGCCCTCCACAAGGTGGGGAGAATGACTCATGGCTTCAGTGTGCATGGCCTCAGGAGACAAATTTAGCCAACCAGCCCAGCACACACTGCCCTCCACTAGGTAAGCTTTCCAAGGCCTGATCTCAGCAGCGCACGGGACTAAGCATTGACTGCCATCCCTTCTTAGTCTGCTGGTCACGCAGGAGAGAAAGAAGGAGTTCAAGCAGGAATAAGAAAAATGTAAGCCTCATACCCCAAACAACTGCTGCCTCTGCCCTCAGCAGCACCCTCCTCCCAGCCCCCTAAGAAATATCCACAAGGTGGGGGTTGAGGGGAAGCTCAGTCACTCCCCATTCACACTAATACACCCCCCCACACCCAGTCTAGTATAGGAACCACTCCAGAGGCTGGCCTTAAAAGGAGGGGGGCAACTTTCCTCCCCCTTGTCCCGTCTTTCCCAAAAAACAGAGTCCTTCAAGGCTGTTCAGCAAGGACAGAGACAAGAGTTCTGCAGAGTCTTGATAAGATAGGTAGGAAGACAGAAGGGAAGGAGGCAGTGGGGGACAGGCTGGGAAGACAGAGCTGTTTTCATCCCTTGTTCCCTGACAACAGCACAGCAACTCAACCGATAAGGGCTAGAGTGAACATTTTTGTCATCCCAGGCACTGCCCTCCCCCTGCAGCTCCCTGTGGTCTGCCCCAGCTGTGGCTGCGGGCATGTTTAGTCACCGCTCCACAAGCAGGCAAGAATGTACCTGCGCGTGCTGGCAAGGCCTGTGCAGCAACGGCCCAATGCTACCATAAAAGGAAACATTCTCCAGCCCTCCCAGAAGGAACTGTTTCCCAGGGCTGTCCAAACCCAATCTCCAGGATGGCTGGAATTCCTCTAACTGTGTAAGGAGGAGTCAGAGGTTCCGCTGCTCAACAGGAAGCAGAACTCCAACACACACTGGAGGGCATGCACAGAGTGCCGCATGCACAAGCACATAGGCACAGCTGCACATGGACACACATGCACAGAAGCACACACACAGACAGCTGTATCCACACAGTCCTACATGGGCAGACATACAAAGGCACATGTACACAGAAATCACACACACACAAATGCACACATGCACATATTCAAGGCACACACAGCTGCACATGTGCACAAGCGCATATACAGATGCACATGTGTGCAGACATACAGCATGCACATACACACTGACAGGCATAGAAATCATCATTAAACTTCCATCCAAACCACCATCCCCTACTCTTTCCCCTCACCTTTCCCCTCCACTTCTGGAGGCCAGGTACTATCAACAGAGCCTAAGCACACTTCAGAGAAATCTTAATTTGCTTTATCATAAACAAAAGGAAAACTGATGGAAGGCCTCATTTCTTCACCTCAGGCCTTCAGCACTTAGCACCCCAAATCCACCTGCCTAGAGTGACTCACAATGACCTCTGACATCCAGAAAGATCCTTGCAACACTACAAGAGATTTCAGTCTGTTACCTTGTGTGGCCAAACAAGAAGCTCCTGGGACAGATGTGACTGCCTACTTGGTGGATCTTTTCTCACAGCAGTTTGGGATTTGTACCTGAGTATGGAAGCATCCCTTCTAAATACTAGGATGGCTACAATTCCCAACAAGCAGTGGGCTCTTGGCCTGACCCAGTTCATCCTGCCACCCCCACATCTCATGCATTCTGGCAGGGAGCCTCCTTGGCACTCATGCCATCAGCCTTGTCTCACACTGCCACTCAGTGGATGAGGACACTGAATCCAGCCTGATGCATTTATTGTGGTTTGAGTCCTTACTTGGGATTGTATGGATTGAAGGCATATTTTAAAACACCTTCCTTCCTCCTACCTGGAGGAAGCCAGGATTTGGAAGGTGTACAGCCACTAGGACTACCCTGTGTTCTGGGACAAAGGCTCCCTGACCCATCCTGCTCCAGTCCCATCTTGAAGGGCATGAGACAGGAAAGGATTACGAACCTCCTGCCATGGTTTCCAGACTTCTGAAAAGCAGCAGCTTTCCTTGGACAAACCCTGCCCAAAGTCGTGAGCCCCACAGGATGGCACTCGACTTTGATAACCACTGGTCCACACGCACCCAACGCAGTTACATAGGAGGACGTCACTGGCTGCATGCCAGGAGCCCTGGGCTCTGCCCTCTGCTCTGTACTTCCCCACACAGGGCTGCCCCTCTCAACCTCTGGGAATCAGTGGGGGCATCTCTGAGGACTGAAGGAAATGTGTGCCTGAGTCCACTCAGAAGGCTTTCCTTTCTTAACTGCCCCTGCTCTCTGCATCTGCATGCACCTCTCTACATTGCCCAGCTCTTCGCTGAGCACTCCACGCCCACAAGAAAGGCTTTCATGAGTTACATATTCAGTGACCAGACCAGTCCCTCCCTGATTTTACTTTAAACCGGAAAAGCCCCGAGGCTGAGCCCAGCATAGACAGGTATTTCCAGCCAATTCACAAGAATGGCTCAGGATGGAGGAGGGGAACTGCCTGCAGGTATCTCATCCCAGGCTTTTCAACTGAGTACAGAAATCTGGGGGGCCTTATTGCTCACTTCCTCTTTGAGAGGAGCTGCAGCTGATTCTTGTCCATAAAAGGCCACAAGGCTCACACAGCAGTGACATCAGCCCAACAGGAAATACAGGAGGAAGAGAGCGGGGTCTGGTTCACCAGCAGCACTCTCAGGAATGACTCAAGGCCAGGTTCAAAGATACAGTCTCCCAAAGGCTCCTGTGAAGCAACTCTCCTGGGGCCACAGCTGGATGTGCACCCTGCCAGCAAGGCCCCATCTCCAGGTCTACCAGACTCTTGGGAACTGACTAAGAAGTGGATATGGTTAAGACAGAAGGACAAAAGAGGGCAGCTTCAGAGTAGGTGACAAGCCTCAACAGCCTCAAACTTTCCACCTCCCAGGGGTCTTCTGCTTTAAAGAAAATTCTAGAACAGGCCGGGGGGAGGGGGTGGCTCATCATGTGCAGCTGCACTGGCGAGGTGACCCCTGCACTGTGTCACCCAGGATGGGGAGCCTCAGGCTGCCCTGGGCAGCCTAAGACTCCAGAGTGACTTGTCTCTGGCCCCATGTCTCAGGGGGCCACAGTGCAAAACACTTTGCAAAGCATACCTGTGGGGTTCCATCTTGGAAACTGGGGGCTAGGAAGGCCTCAGAGACCAGTTATCTCAGCCTAGAGATCAGTCGCAAAGTCCCAAGAGACTCAGTGATTTCATCAAAGTCACAGAGCTATGCTGAGAACCCAGGCTTCTGGATTAGGAGTTCCTCCCCAATTCCTCTCCACCAACAGCAGCTGCACAGTCCTACCTCAGTGCTGCAGGCAAAGGGCCACTGACACTCATTATGGGAGCTACCTTCTCCACAGGCAGCCCAATCACAGCTTGGGGGACAAACTCTTGGGAAGTGGATAGAAAGGTGACCACAAACAGTAGAAAATATGCTTCCCTTA